ACACAAATGTTATTTTAACACACAAATGTTTTTGGTTTTCACCATAATTTGGATGAATATCCAACATCAAACGGTCTATATCACAAAGTTTTGATTGTGGTATCCCAAACATTGTTTTCATAACATGAAGTGCAAGATGATGTAAACAAACAACGCTTCATTCAATATTGTTCATGTCCAGGACCGCGTTATCCTAATGGGCAACATGGGATGCAGTCCAGGGCCCCGAACACTAGGGGGCCCCCGAGATAATTATCTTTTGCATTTTAAAACTCGTTTTGATCGAGGTAATTATGAAGTGGAAATCGGTTTACTAAATGTAAACTTGACTGACTGCTTCACTTCCACTTTAAGTACACTACTTTCGTTAAAAACCTTGTTAAACATTCAGTTAGTATTTAGTCTCCGTTTCATCTCACATTAGGGCCCTGTCCACACGAATGCGTTATTTTTAAAACCGCAGCTTTTTTTACACGTTTAGGCCGTTCGTCCACACGCAAACGTAGCACCAGGTCACTGAAACCGAACATTTTTGAAAACGCCTACCAGGGTTTAGATTTTCAAAAACGTCCCAGGTTGCGTATGTAACCATGGTTCCCCGAGGGAACGAGACGCTGCGTCGCAAGGCCATACTTCCGGCATCCCTACTAGAGCTTGCTTCACTCCTAAGAAGCTAGCGCCGGCTGCACCTCACGTGCTTTTAAAGCTTCCTGGTCATGACGTCACCCGCCGCTGATGTCTCGCCCATCGTTCGACTGATTACACATATGATTCAGAGCTTGGTATCGCTGAAGGCGTTCCCCTAGCATTCCACAACTCTGGGCGGGGGTGAAAGATCATACCCTCCGCCTGTGAGAGGAGATCTCTTCTGATGGGAATCTCCCATGGAGTGCCGTCGAGGAGAGAAATCAGGTCCGAGAACCACACTCGGCCCGGCCAGAACGGGGCTACTAGCAATAGACGGACCCCGTCCCGACGCACTCTCTCTAGAACTCCCAGGAGCAGAGCGATCGGGGGAAAGGCGTACAGACGAAGCCTCGGCCAAGTCTGTACCATAACATCCAGCCCCAGTGGAGCTGGATGAGTCCGAGAGAACCAGAGGGGACATTGCGATGTCTGACGGGTCGCAAACAAGTCCACCAGAGCCTGGCCAAAAACTCTCCATATCTGCTTCACCACCTCGGGGTGAAGCATCCATTCCCCGGGCCTCGGCCCCTGCCTCGACAGGATGTCTGCTCCCATATTGAGATGCCCAGGAATATGAACTGCCCTCAGCGAGAGGAGCTTGCCCTGGGACCACACAAGGATCTGATGCGCCAGCTTGTGTAAGGGGCGCGAACGTAGACCTCCCTGGTGGTTGATATAAAAGACCACCGCTGTGTTGTCGGTGCGTACCAACACATGGCGATCTCTTAGGTCTGGAAGAAAGTGTTTGAGGGCTCGAAACACGGCCAGCATCTCCAGGCAATTGATGTGCCACGTGAGATGGCGACCACTCCACAGACCACGGGCAGGGTGGCCACTCATGACTGCTCCCCAACAAGTGAGGGACGCGTCCGTCGCTAGCGTTACGTTAAGGAGCGTTAAGGAGCTCCCAGCACCGGGCCCTGAGACAAGAACCAAGGTTTCCTCCACATGTCTAAGGCACGTAGGCATCGCCGCGTGACCTTGATCATGCGAAGCG